CGCTGCGCTATGAACCCAAGTCCCTGGTTCGATTCCCGCTCACGGCCAACACCGGTGACGTTTATTTGAACCGGTCCTGTGCCTCCCCTAGGTCGACTCAGCCTCAAATGAGTACCTGGTGCGATGTGAAAACATCGCCAATGGGGAGACAAAGGTGACCGGGCGTAGTGCTGGCCACCCACCTCCTCGTGTGCCGTGCCGGCCTTCATAGGTGCTCGCTAACAGCACTTGCCCGAACATTCTGTTGAGGCTATACGGGACATTTTTTGGGAGTGAATTAAACCCAACACCTACTAAACTTACGTGGGAGGGATGTGACATTGATCATGTGTCCTGGGAGGAAGAGCAATAACCAATCCTTGCTATAAATACGCAGGTGTCAGGGCAGTTGCAACGCACCATCTGGAAGGGTTGAAGCTAACCCCTTATTAAGCATAAGCCTGTTCGAGCTCCTCTGATGACCTTTACTGCAGCCCCTCGTCAATCCACATGCTGGATTAAAGCCTCCCCACACCATAGCAGCACCGTCGTGGGGACGTTTCGCCATACTTCACCGCACTGTGTCGATGTCGTTTGGTGAAGGGAGGAGCCTAGAACCGGTTGGGATGTCGCTCCCCTCTGATGTTAGCCATGGGCTGGAGCATCTAACTGTGGCTGGCAAGTTGGGAGTGCAGTGGGCCGCTAAACCACTCTGCCACCGCTCCATCTACGCCCAATCACAATTGTACGTGTACAGCCCCTTTGTCAATCCACTGCTGGATGAGAGCATCCCCATGCCATACAAATGTCTTGCATGTTATTTGACCATACTTCACCACGCTAGTCAATGCGGGATAGGGGAATTCGGGGAACATAGTATAGGAGCCATAGAAGTATAGTACAGTAATGCATTATTACGCACCAACTTAGGTTGCCCACCACGCAGCCCTGCAGCCTATACGCACCCTTATTGCACAGTTGACAACCATCCCAGCACTGGTCAACATTCGGAAGGTCGTGTGCCATTGCAGAGAGGAGACACTCAGTCATAGGCAGAGGCAACGAGCAACGTCCTGAGCCTGGACTTGACCTCGCGCAGGGAGTCAACAGCACAGATGGCTGGGAGTAGAGATGCGAGTTCACGACATTCAGAAACTCCAGCCGAGAAGATGCGTTACGTATGGCTGGTGCACGAACAGCTATAACACAAGGAGAGAGAGAGAGAGCCAACATCGGAACTCACGGGCTGCCTGGTGGGCTGTTTAAAACGTACGCGGGACCTCCTGCACGTCGCGTTGGGGTGGATCTCCGCATCTGCTGTGCTTTCTATTCCGTTTTCATCTCTTCAATCTCGATGCTCCGCACCATGTTGCTTTGAGCTCTGCGACCTGATCTTCATTTATATGTGTCGTAAATTTCGTTCGTAATTTCACCGTTATTTAATCATAATACTTTGTATCATGCTGCACGAAGGGTTGAAAGCTTTTACTGAAGCTATTTGTGAAAACATAAATTGTCCTGGTAATTGGGTGTGAAAACAGATGTTCTTTGTTTGGGTTATACACACCGAATGTGCCAGAGAAGTCGCAGAGCGTCCCCTGTTCGACGTTTCTGATAACGAGTAACCAGTTATTCCTGTTTAGCATCTAACCTCGAGTGGCAATAATTGCATTCACACCAGTAATGTGCTTGGGGGTGGCCTACTTTGCTCATGTGCTAATTGAACACGTGGGCTCAAGATGTTCAGCCACATCAGCAAACTCGATCAATTTTGGAACAAAAAAATCCTCCGTGTTGGGAAACCAAAAAGATTAATAGTATCATACTCTTTGGTTCTTTCGGTAAAGTCACGTAGGTATAATATATATATACCTACGTGACTTTACCGAAATAACCATATACCTACGTGACTTTACCGAAAGAACCAATGAGTATAGATTCCTGCAGTCACGAAAGCTTCAAATCAAGATTAATTATATCAGCCAGGGTGAACTGAACTCAAGGCAACAGCACAGCCACTGTGAATACAGTGGGTGTCCGGATACCTCCAACTTTTTTTTTAGATATCGCTCAGAGACGCCCTTAGTCAACATGGTGGCGAGGTGTTAACTCCCTCGCCTGGTATGCAGGAGGTTGTAGGAGCCTGACGCGTGTATATTTGGAGTCTACGTGTTCTTCCCGTGGTCGTGTAGATTTTTCTCCAGGTTCTCTGGTTCATCCCTACACATTTGGAAACATGCGTTTAGAGTATTTTGCTTCTATAGATTTCCACACGACGGTAAGCCACTTCGTTGACCTATCATGTGTGGCCAGGTCACTTCCGACAACATCTATATAGCCCAGTCGGCCTTACCTCGTAAAATAAAATTTAAAAATCCATACAAGAGTTTTTTTGGGTCAGATCGTGTAAATATAAATGTTTCGTTAAACCAGCCACCTCAACCTGATGAAGCTGGTTGTAATAACCAGCGAAACGTCGAACTTAAATTGTCAATGTTGTGGGTTTACTCTCCAACACGCTGGTGTGCTGTACTAGTAACGAATTGACACGTTTTGTTCACGTGACAAACCTTACTAATTGGCTGTGTCGGGTGGTGGCAGATTTAATGACGCATTTTTATCTACGCCATCTAACCCCCCAAAAAAATCCTCGCATGGATAATATTGGTCGTGACAGCCTACGCGTTCAAACTAAAGTAGCTCGTTGTAGTGTTTTAGTTTACAAGGTGTCTGGCGGCATGTGGGAGGAAAACGGGACAGTCTGCAGATAACCTGGAGAAATCCCGTGCGTACAAGAGAGTAACAGTCACCCCCCTGGCCACCTCACAACCACACACATGCAAAACATGGCAACACCCCGAAGGTCACCAATCTAAATAATAACATTCATCATTTCTGTCAACTATTTTTTTGCACCTTAGCGCTCGCTCTGGTGAGCTCTACTCAGCTTGTGATGTTAGGTGATTTGGTCATAAGCTGCGGTAGAGCGTTCGCCACTCATCTTCTTGGTTCTTTCGGTAAAGTCACGTAGAAGGGAAGTAATAAAATAATAAAAATAAAACATAATAAAATAAAATAATTCTTTTTTATTATTTTATTACTTCCCTTCTACGTGACTTTACCGAAAGAACCAAGAAGATGAATCCCTGCAGTCACGAAAGCTTTAAATCGAAACGTTCGCCACTCGTTGCAGAAGTTCACGGTTCTTATCCAGCGGGCCGCACCGGTCAATGCCGCGGTGTGTAACAGCCCCCAGCACTTGACAGTGTCCATTTAAAGATGCCCTCGACGTCATTCGCATGAGTTGGCCATCGTGTGCCAGTGCCATGGTCCAAATTTGCCACGTGTTTGCATTGCAATGCACTTTGCTCAATTGAGATTATAGATACTAATCGTCGCCCCCTACCGACAGCGGACACGTGCCCCAAGGTCACTCTGGTAAATGAGACTCACGCTGGGCTGGGTAAATGAAAGAATGTTGAATGAGCGCGAACCGCCAATTCGTGGCTTTTTATCACCGTCACGCTCCAGGTTGACCGGGAACCCATTCAAGCAGCAGAGGAAAATTGTGACAAACTAAAAATAAAAATCACCTTACCTTATTACAGACCAATTCAGACCTTCTTGGGCACCCCGTGTCCTTATAAATCTCAACGTTCATAATGCTAAGTCCCATCACTAGGAAGAAACACAAACAGACTAAACAATGTTGTTGCCCGTATTGAAACGGCTGTACGTCGTATGGACCTGAAAACTCAATTTCCCTGTAAAAGAATACGGGCAAAACCGTATGGGTTGACAGGTATGAAAATGCCCGCGTTAAAAACCGGAGTAGAGCAGTTGTTTTTGTTGTGCTTTTTTATTTGCCGATTCAAAATAACAACTCAAAAGATACAGTTTTACACACAGGAACAAAAATAAGTTTTTGAATGGACTTTTTTTCTTTCTTTTCTTCAACAATTACTCTTCCACCACATGATTTATATTCACCGTGATACACAACATTTGAGTACAGCTCCCAAAAGTGCAAGTGGCTGTACATGAAGATCCCATTCAGCCCCCCCCTCCCCCCAAAAGTCGTCTGCAACACAGCCGTGGAGACAAACGTTGGGTCGGGAGAAATACGGGGGAGAGTGAAAGGAAGGAGGGAGGGATGGGGGGGACGAAAGACTTCCAAACTTAAGACTCGTACATACTTTCCCGTGACGAAATGCCTGCAGGGAAACCGGCTCTGTCCACGAAAACACGAGAAAGAGAGAGAACATCGCACGCTCCGTTTTCACCGCGGGAACGGCGGAGCATCGGGCTCGCCAACCACTAGCCCACTGCACACCGTTGGTGGGGGGGGGGGGGGGCAGGAGATGTGTGCGATTGGCAATCAGAGAAGCGAGGGACAGCGAATTGTGATAGAAACGTTTACTGCATAATGTGTGCTTGTTGGTTGGCCGGTTGCTCGCTTCGGTTCCACCCCACCCCCCTCCCCCGTTTTGTTTTGTTCAAGCTGCATAACGACTTTGTGCTATTACGATGGTGGGCCGGGGGGTTTGATCGGAAGAGGACGAGGAAATGTCGATGAACGGAGAGATGGCAGAGCGGGTAGGGAACGGGCGGACGGGCGGGCGGGCAGGAGACAAGGAGCACGTACCAACAGGACAGCACATTTACCGTCAAGCACGTGCGCGTGTGTATGTGTGTGTGTGCGCGCGCGTGTCCGTGCGTGTGTGTCCGTGCGTGTCGCGTCATGGGAAGAAACACACGGGAGGGGGTGGCGCAGGGCGTTAGGGTTGAGGCAGACGTGCCCCGGTAGACGCTCGCCAACATTTACATGGGCCACTGCTTGGGAAATGTCTTCCACACTCGAGCGGAAATAACGACGGACAAAATTAACCCGCGACTATGCTTTCAATTTTCACTTTAGTTAGCGTTGCTATAATTATATTATATATTTTTATTACTGTTTTTTTTATATTTTCATATATACACTTATACATCTGTGTTATTGTTCTCTTTTTTTTTTTGGGAATGATCCTAACCGTAAAAATATTTCAAGCAAGATGGTCCATGGAAATGCACACACACCACCAATGTGTCCAGCAAGTGGAGTTCAATACTGTCAGCCCCTACAGCACAGAATGACAGCCTTAACCGTTAATGCCCGGCGAAGATGCTGTTTTGATCTATTTTCTTCTTGAATTTGATTTTACTTTAATCCGGAATAACGTTGTGTGGGGTGAGTGTTAATATCTATCGAGTCTCTCTGCAGGTTTATCCGCGGTTGTGCCATCGTACGGTTGTCGGCTGCGTTTTCGGGTCGTGCCGCGTGCCGCTAGGCAAGATCTCCGACGTTTCGCTCCTCGTGCTGGGAGTCCCCTGCACTCACTTCCTGAAAAAGGGTGCCAGCGTGTGGAGTGAAACGTCGATCATGAATTCTGAACGTGCGGTACAACCGGAAAACTAATTGGAGAGCTATCATTCTTGATTCATTGGGAAAAAAAACCTAAGGTTCAATTCAAGTGGTTTTTGTTCGACGATTTTGCAAATATTTTGCCAACGGTGAGGTGTGCAAAGATGCCTCGATTCATCAATTAAAATCTATTCTCATGCCTTAGATATCCGCGCCATAATTGTGCACGTGCGCATCGATTATTTTCAATTCACAAACACTGCAGTCAGCTCGCAGTGACCACAAGCAACATTTTTTTTGTTACTTTAGAATTAAATCACGACCGCGGGCCATGAAATTAATCCGGATGAATCGTTACGTGCCGACCAACAACGTGGTGAATCCCCAAGGCCGATGCATCTCCTCGGGTGACGATTGGCGCAATCTGGCCTCATCATCGACACTTTAGCTTTCCGATCAACTCGCCGAGGTTTGACCCTCAAATCGCCGAGACGTCCGGCCGCCAGCATCACACGGGGGGCGGGGGGGGGTATGTGGGGGGAGGCCGTAGGGGGCCGTGGGGACGCGTTCGGTCGCCTCGCGTTGACCGCGGGGGGGCCGTCACGCCTCGTACCTCGTAGGGACGACTCGGCGACCTGAACCCGTCGCCCTGAAAAACGCCACTGCGACAAAGATGGAGCGAAGAGGGTGCGACCGTGGTGGGTCGGGGGGGGGGGGAGCGGGCAGTGGAATAGGACGAGGAGGAGAAAATGTAAAGAGGGCGAGCGCTTCAGGAGGAGTCCCTCTCGCCGGGATCGGCGTACACGTAGCTTTCCCTGTCTCCCCCCTGGCCCGGCGCATCCTTGCTCTGGTAGCCGTTGGGCCAGCTCCCTTTGCTTTGCGCTGTCGCGCCGTACGACTTCCCACCCGAGGCCCCGGCAAGGCCGCCACCGCCGCCGGCGCCGGCGACGCCACCATCGCCCAGCGCCGTCTCGGCCTCGCCCTCCGCGAAGTCGTCCCCGCCGAGCTCGTCCTCGTTGATGAAGCCGCACTTCTCGTCGCTTGTCTCCTCGGGGTCGGCCCACGGCTGCTTTTCGCCGGAGGCGAACAAGCCGTAGAAGATGACGCCGCCGTAGTGCACCAGCGCCGCGATGAGGAAGACGTTCTGCCACTCCTCGCGAGTCTGCGAGCGCGCGCGATGGAGATGTGGAGAGATGATGAGAGAGAGAGAGAGAGGAGGGGGCGGCGGGGTGGGGAGGATAATACCACGGAACGGTTTTTTAGAAAATTGATGGTGCCCGATGAAACGGCGGTAATTGCCATGCAGGGGTAGTGGTGGTGGGGGGAAAATAGGAAAATTGCTGCCCGTCGAAAATTACAGCTGACCCCGTCGGTGAAGAGCCTGAATTGAGCGACCGATTTGAGCTCAATTTAACCGGCCCCATTCACGAGCGCTGTTGAGTTAACCAGGCACTCGCGACGCACGCATTAATTATGTCATTATAAGCCTCTACGCTTCGTAAATTCCTGTGCGTGTCAAAGTTTAAAGACGAAATTGTTTTAAAACGCAGTGTTATTTAGCAAACGCTTGAAATCCTCAAGTAAAACAGAAATGCCACAAAAAAAACTAATCCAAGGAATTCTTACAATAGTCTTCTAGTTGAACAAAATATTGGCTGGACTACTTATCTATTTATTCTGACAAGCCTCACAGTCGCAAGACTCCTTTAGGTACTTCCCAATAGTGATTTGCATGCGCTGGATGCCCTAGTAATGAAATTGCTGCTCGGAACACAGAGCCGCATCTGATCGGCACAATATTGACCGCGCGCGGAACTGGTGCTCGTACATTTGCTAAACGCTCTACCACGGCAAGTCGATGCAGTCCACGAAGGAGGTCAATTCCATCGCAGCATCCGATATGCCTCCATTGTTCTTGCCTCGTCACGGTGCAGGATCTAGTCAGATTTCATCCGATCTTTGAAGCTAATCTGCGATTGAGCCCGGTTAGTACTGTACTTGGATGGATAACCACTTCGGACTTGGCAGGTGATGTTGGCATGCGCGCGGAAGACGGATGGCTTTGTGAATTTTCTCCAGGTGCTCTGGTTTCACCCCACACGATGCCAAACACTCATGAATGGAATTTGCCAAATATCCCAATCGCAGGACCCTCCCGAAAATTTGCCTCGAGGCTCGGTGATGCGCTACGAGGTGACCTGTCTGCCGCATGTCTCGCAAAACACAGACGATACAAATGTCACGCCGACTGGGGCCTCGGTCCCAACTCGGGTACGTGTCAGAATTTGTGCTCAAACTAACCCCGTGCCACAGTAAGAGATTGGAAACATTTACGTATAGGAAAAATATAGCCGAATTTTAAAAAATCGGTATTTTTGCGTCTCAAATATACATATGCATTTGTGTGTTTGTATATTTTTGGAGTTCTGCTGTTCTGCAGCTCAACGTGGGAATGCACATATTTCTACTCTGGCTGACAGCATGTCACTAATCATGCCAACATGTCTTCCACCCAATATTAGAAAGCCACTGGAGCTGAGCACTTTTAAAATCTACATCGAAAACAAATTTTTTTACAACTGCTTTTGTGTTTATTTTGTTGTCCTTCCCCACCGCAGCTCTGATGAGCATGGTTGGCTACGTACGGTGCGAAAGAAGCTCAACACACATACATACACACACGCACACACACACACATCTCTGCGCAGTCTGGACTGTATAGCGCTATGATTGATGCAGCCCCAGTACACTGATCGATCGACGCTGGCATCATATATCAGCCTAATGAGCATTTACTGCTCGGCTAATGCTTGCAGCCGGGCCGTGCTACTAAATCAAAGGGCAATCTTGTACCCACGGCAGTTTCGTGGCGGAGAGATTTTCGCCTGCTCGTGAATGTCGCACACTGCCACGCAGCGCGATTCCGTGACGACAAACCGTCGGGGTTCATCACTTGCACTTCTCGGCAAAAATTCAGTTTGAAAGGAAAATAAACCAATAAAATATAAAGAGAACATTACGTCGTTTTGTAGCCTTTTTTAAATTCTACGTACTTATACGGATCAATTTCATGAAGAGTTATGGTAGAAGTCCTCTTATCCGTTGTGATGTGGGAAACAAGCATCTCCTCTTATCCGCAATTTATTTTCTTCCAGATCATAGGAAGCTCTCCGACAATGCAGGAAGGGAAACATTGTCGATGATCACGGATAATAGGAAGAGTCACCCACGGCTCTCATACCCCACAGCTTCCGCTCATAAAAGGAGTCACGGATAATAGGATGAGTTCTCATGTGCGTTGTAGCTTGTATGATATCGCTATGGGTGCAACAATTCACCCCTCTGGCAATTGAATTCTCACGATTCAAGGTAGCAATGGCCAAGAAAGGCCAGTGTAGTGGCCTCTCGTGCTTAGAGGTTTCGCATGAAACCATCACATACAACATGATAGATGCATATATTGTGAGCATAATAATCGATATTGATCGATACTAATCGATCAATCGATGTATCTTTAACACCCAAGTCTGAGTTGATCTGTGTATGCCGTTATTATTAAATGACTCACTCATTTATTTGCTCGTTTTTCATAAATCGTGATTGCATTTATACATCTCAATGCATTTTTTTTCCTGTATATAATAAAGACATTGTGAAAATAATATAAGTCATCAAAAGTGACTCATATGCATCACGCTCGGGTAAAAAACGTTCACGAGCTAAAATACACGCAACCACTCGGATGCTTCATCACAAAACAGCACCAGGCTAAAAATAATAAGCGTTGATTTGCTCTTACAACACCCCCCCTCCCCCACCACCGTTTCCCTCGTTGAAGGTAATAAATAAATAAATATCGCTCCCAATTAGCGCCTGCCGCTTTCATCTCCCGCGGTTGCTATTCCGGTCTGCGTGACTCACCCGCGGCCTCGGCTCCCTCTTTGTCTTCAAATTTTCACGAAGCACCGAATCGAAGTCTCGGTTCCTGACACCGATCCGCTCACGAATCTCTCCGTAGGGCCACACGCATAACAGGAGGTGCCCTCGTTTCGTGAATTCTATTTCTGTGGGGTAATTTTTTTCCGTGCATGTGAACTTAAAACTACGAGCAATTTTTGGTTAAAATATTTTACCACGCCCACTGAGCTATATAGCTCTTTTGTTCAGAATCGACCCGGCTATCACATATGACAGCTCCAAGGAAGGGGCTTAACACGTGGAAATTTTCGCAACACAAATACTCCGAACGCACGTCCATTATAAACGTGGAGAGAATAATCCGGAAGACCCGGAGAAAATTCCACACAACCACGGGGAGAACGCGCAATCTCCAAACATACAGCGGTATCAGGGTCAGGATGGAACCCACGACCTCCTGCCAAGCAGGCGAGGCAGGTGGCATCTCTCCACCTTGCCCGTGCTGCGGCGAGCCCGTGGCGCCACGCCTCTCACCTTGCCCTTTGTCATGGCGCCCACGATGAGAGGGCACACCATTCCCGACAGGGTCCCCACGCCGTTGGAGATGCCCATGAGGATACTTGCATAGCGAGGGGCGATGTCCAAGTGGTTGACGTTGAAGCCTGCGCACACGCACACGGCACCAGCCAAGGCGAGATAGTTTAACGAGTAGTGGCGGTGGCGCTAATGGCCCATCCATTGAGTGGGTACTCAAAAATCTGTCAAAACTTGAGCCCTCCCCCTCCCTCCCTGTGTGCACGCAGACTTTTTACACCCCAACCCTCACCTGCGTACGTACGCCTGATGCACCCCCCCCCCCGAATCCTATAGAACGGCCGACATTTAATCCAAGCAGAAACGATCAAGGATTAATAATATTAACGTGTTTTAGCAAACAGATTGTCCACCGCCGGACTATCTAACTCATTTGAAGGCCAATGTAGACAATTTATTATCGAGGCTTCACCCTCCCCTTCCCCCAGTTCTCTATGCGTATGCACATTGTCAGTAGACCCCCCATACGCAAGCGTACACATTTGGTTAACCCCCCTATCCCCTCCATGCGTACGTACTCAATGGATGGCCCCTAACTGGCTTAAGTCAGAGTGGGGGGGGGGGGGGGGGATTAACGATGTACGAGAGAGTGGAAGGTGAGGGGGTGAATCGGAGGCGATGTTACGTAACGACAACAACATTTGCATTCCCTGTGTGGAGGAGCCGTCGACGAGATGGTGACAGAGTAAGACGCGGCTGAGTTTAACAAGCGGAGATTGATCAAAGCCGCCATGCTCACGATGTATGCATCATATTCGCGCATACTCAGGGGTGTCTGTATCATAGCCACGATACTCAGGCTCCGTCTATCACAGTCGCCATCGCAAGAATGTCAGGACCATGACCACCATGCTCATGCTCTCTTGATTCATGGCCACCAAGCCCAGAGCCTCCGTATCGTGGCCTCCCCGTGCAAGTTTTGTTTGTTTCGATTTAAAGCTTTCGTGACTGCAGGGATTCATCTTCTTGGTTCTTTCGGTAAAGTCACGTAGAAGGGAAATAATAAAATAATAAAATTTATTTTATTATGTTTTATTTTTATTATTTTTGTATTTTCCTTCTACGTGACTTTACCGAAAGAACCAAGAAGATTTTAGTTTGTTGTTAAATTGTATTTGCTCGAGGGCCCCGGCCGCCGCTGTCCCAACAAACCTGAGATGGCGAAGCCGCTGAAGCCGACGGCGAGGACGAGGAACGTGATGGCGATGCCCTTGCCGTGCGAGAAGCCGACCACGAGCAGCAGAGTGGCTTCCATGCCGAAGCCTGAACTCGCACCGCCACGCAGCAGAGACAACGGCGCGGTCAGCCGCGGGGTCTATCGGAGCGTCGCCTCGCATCGTTACAATGTGCGGCCGAATAAACGGTCAAAGCGCGGTTGGGCTACGTTACGGGGGCGAAAGAAATGTCAACACGCGTCCGTGCATTTCACGAATGATCGAGCGGGTGAATTCGTCAATGAACGCGTGAGTGAATTAATGGCTGCGCTCAATAATGCATGGATCGATTGATTAATTGATTGAAAGAATGGTTAAAAGAAATCAATGGGTGAGTGAGGACGCTAGACTCGGGCACAAAGCGGTGTTTCTTGGAATGCCACGACGAAGTAATTCGACATCCCCCCTCTGCGTAGCTTTCCTCGCTCGAGCAGTAGAACTCTGCGATGATTTTTCCGAGTTGTGCGGGAGCCACTTCAGGGCGTCGTGGAACGGGCATCATGAAAAAAAAACATCGCGCAATCTGGTTTCCAGGAACATTCGGTCTTCTGTTGAAAAAACATCAGATTTGGCCCTATCACCTGAGGTCGTATCTTCCGCCCACTACTCTTCGCTGGGGTGCCGCGGTGGCGAGATGTTAACCTCTTCACCTGGTATACAGGAGGCCGTGGGTTCGATCCCGATCCTGACGCCTGTATAGTTGGAGTTTGAATCTTCTCCCCGTGGTCACGTCCTCTGGTTTTTCCCCTCCACGTTTAGAATCAACACGTGTTTATATTATTTCGCTGCTAGAAATTTCCACGTGAAAAGCCAGTTCGTTGGGCTATCGTTTGTGGCCAGATCGCTTGTGAAAAAGAACAATATACCTTAGTGGGTCTTACCTGATAAAACATAAAACTCGTTCTCGTTTTAATTTCGTTTTTCTCTATCCTTTATTTTTCTCCCGCTGCGTGAATGTTGCACTGTGGCAGATACTCGGGTTGCACCGCATGTCCTGAATATAATCAGCCGAAATCAAAGCACATTCACAGCACAAATACACAATTCCCGCCGTGTGCGGGAAGCCTGAATTACATGGGGGGGGATAACGCATTCTGTTGAGATGAAACTCGAAAACCAATGACGCTTGGATGCCAACGTCCCAGCTAAGAACTCTTGCGAATCGTAATTCGGCATTAGACTTAGCGACGGCCCCAGGGTGAAATGGGTAGCCCACTGAGCACAGAGGTCACGGGTTCACTCTCCCAGCACGGCAGTTGAAACAATGATGCGAGTTTCCTAAATCTCCCCCGCCTCACCGCTGCCTCTGTCCACTCAGCAGTATACAGTTGGGTTCACGACCGATGGCGATCGACAGGTTGCCGTGTGGTGGGGTAAAGTGTGGCTGCTTCCACCTCTTCCAAGACGTGAGGACAGCATGGAAAAGCAGGCCAAAAAACCCCTCTTAGAGGGGCTCTCTGGAGCAACTTTTAGTGTGGAAGGCCCCGTTTCACCAGCAGTTCCATGAGCAAGCAATTGCAGTGCTGCACATTTGCTTCAATCTTGGCGCATTTCACACGGAAGCATCTAAGATGTCGTTGTTTGGAGATTGTCTTGCCGACCTAATGCTTTGTCCAGTGGCTTTGTTTGAGTTGAAACACCAATGTGCAGAGACTTTTGAATCTGAATACGAACGCGCGTAGTATTCTCTGCCACTAAGCCGTGCTTTCAAGATTAGTGGCTTAAAATTTGATGCCCAGGAGTACAGTACATGCCGTGTCGAAATAATTTTCATGTCCAGTTTTACAATACATGAAGAAAAAAAATCTGTGTTGTGATATCCATATTATGAATATGGCATAACATTATGTTTTATTGTACTCAAATAACCAAATTAGGTTTATCTGACTTTCAATTGGTTTTGCATCACACCATCCAAAGAATTACCTAAGGAATCTAATTATCCAAATATATCATGTTACATTTAGACTCGGCACACTTTGAAACCTCCATTTACAAATTTTCATAGGCCTAGGCTTCACAAAAAAACATTCAATGCATTTGACCCCTGAATTAATCATTCCCATCATCATTTTTAATCGACTGCTGGATTAAGGCCTCCCAAAGATGCTACTATCTCTCACCCTCCCGTCACGTAATAATCCACATGGAAAAAAAAATAGGCTTTACCCTTTCCGGCAATAAAACAGGTGTTAAGATGCTCAAACACCAAATAGGTAACTATTGCAAGTGAGCATTAGTCGCACGTACATACATACAAACAAACATACTTGGATAATATAATGATATGCATTGTATTCTTGGTTCAAGAATATGAATCCCTGCAGTCACGAAAGCTTTAAATCGAAATATATGCATTGTCTTTGAAACTGATTGGCCTACAGACACAACCTTCTTTAAGGCCTTGTCTCATACAATTTTAGACCAGAGAACACCAAAAGGCAAACAGAACAAAGGCATAATAACAATGATAACAATACAAAGTCATAGTAACCATAGTAACCATAATAACAAATACAAAGGCAATGCATGCACAAAGACAATGCTCCATCTTCTCCTCGGTGGTGATGCTCTACGGTGGATCTCCCTCCCAAGCTGCCCCTCTGCCATTATTTCTGTCCACCAGCCATCGTCCTTTCTCCCCGTAGCTCGAGGCCAGACTGGCCACGACTGCCTCCTCTACACTGACCAAAGTTCCTTAACCGCTGCCACGAGACCCGCCCTCCCCAACTGTAGCCACCAGGGCCCACTCACCTCCACAATTCATCATCTTCCGCACGGTGGTGGTGGACATGATCTTCTTGCTGCGGAAGAAGTCGGCCAGTTGTCCTCCAATGGGCACCACAATCGTCATCACCAGATGGGGAAGAGCCGAGATGATGCCCACCTGCAGGAGATGGAGCATGCGTACATGCATGGATCAATGAATGGACATGGGAGTGGTGAACAAATCCATGAGGGCATCCGTACGTTTGTCAATCGCACCAGTCTTGTCGGCACAAGTCTATGACAAAGGAAGCTGTGTTTCAGACCTTTCGGTTTGATCGCGGGGCAAACTTGCCAAATGGATGAGACAGTCAACAAAAAAAACTAAAAATACGGAATGTATAAGACAGTAAAAGTGAAACGGACAATAGAAACACTGCAATGTGAGGCCGACATTACCAACAAAGCCATACAAAGTAGAGGACATGAAAACATCTTGATTGTCGAATCGAATTTTTTGCTGAATTGTGACGATTCGTGTAATCGCAGAGGCAATGTGGACTGGATGTTTACATGCCACGTGAGGATACCCAGCCATCAGGCAACTCAGCTCAAAATAAATAAATAAAAAGCTGACCCCGAGTGTTAAATGTGCCTGCCACTCATCTTCAAACCAAATCCCCCGCGCGTGTCAATGCCTTGTCCATGGTGCAATCGGCGTCTGAATCGTCACGGTCACTGAAACAACATGGCGATGCGCGCAACACTGGGTCTGGGTGGCGTAGCACGGTCTGAATGGGCTCCCTGGGTGTCACCAATGAAATGAAGCCGCCCATGAGCAATTCCTATTCTTCTCTCCGCATTGCCCGGCGCCTAAGGCCCCCTTTCTAGTTCGTGGGCAACGGCGCAGTTGCACTGCAGGTGCCGTGACCCCGGCTCGCCAGGAGAACACGATGCAGCCAGAGTGTAGACTCCGCCCCCGCTGCGTCCATATGGGATGCAGTTTTCCCTTCGTGAACGTGCGTTTATCTCTGGGTGGTACTCCTCCCACATGTAAACACCCATTAATTGGCCGATAACACCTTCATATATAGAGGACCGCAGAGCTTGAGCAATTGAACCTTATGGCGGTACCCCGGCTGTCGCATAATGTCTGTGATTCAGTAATTTTTAGTCTGTTAAAGCTCGGCGACACGGCAATCGACTCGTCTAGACGAGCTGTACACGATGCACTATTCAAAGTTGAATTTTTTATAACGGATTTTTTATGCAAATGTTTGGCGTTTCGACATCGCGGAGTGGCACTGATTTCGGGTTTATTGGTACCCCAGAAGTTAAGTACTCCCCTGGACAAAATAGTGTCCCAGAAATACAATATTTCATTGCCTCGGCCCATTTTGTGTTATTTGGTGCCCCGGAGTACCGCCAACAGGATCATTTGTCTGGTGCCGGCGCGTGGATTCCTTCCTGTTTGTCGGTTGTTAATTGGCCCTCGTTCTGCCTCCCCTTGAGAGCGAGCATGTGCCATGCGTCACGTTACAAGTTACATCACAACAATAATAATAGTCAGTTTAACACGTAGGCTTTCGCGACCAATATTATTCATAATCAACGTTTTTTGGTTTAGATCGCGTTATTTATAAATGTGTCGTAACCCTCCACCACCCGACACGGCCAATCAGAAAAAAAGTGTCACGTTGACAAAAGACAAATAGTTCACTGCTTTAGCCCACCGGTGTGTTGAAGCGTGAAACCACAACATTTACAATTTCTGAGTACGACGTTTCACTGGTAATTGCATCCAGCATCATCGGGCAATTCGCCAGAATGGTGATAATAATAGTTATAACTACGCTGCCGGCTGATTCACCTCGTGCTAACGCTTTCACGCGAGCACCATGATCTGCCGTCACATTTGGGAGCAATAAATAAGCGTTGCGGCATGAGAACTGAGTGCCGAATTTTGACTCGGCAGTACGTGTTGAATGGGCATCCTCTTCAGAGTTCAACGAGTTCGCCTGAACAATCTGCAAAGCCGAACTCACGATCCAACATCAATTGCCGGACAGATGACAAGAGGCCGTTTTCTCTTGTGTATGTTTTACTTTTACTGGGTGGATCACAGTTGTTGTTGTTGTTATTGTTTCGCAAACAAATTAATTACGGGTGAAGCGTTTCTGTTCACCGCCACGCTATGGATGGGAGAGCGAAACACACATGGCCATTAAATAAAATGAACCATCCGAGGCAAAGCAAAAGCCAACAATGAATAATCTGTTTATGAAAAGGAGAAGAAGAATAAGAAAAAAAATAAAGAAAAACCTCATTAAATACATTCAATGTACGGCGAAAATTTCGAGATTATTAATTGTGGGTGCCTTTTACAAAGCATTTCATTAACGGCATTAATTGCAATCGCAACAGACGGGCCTCGGCTGCGTGCTCGAAGGACAACCAATCGCGGGTCTTGCTCGTTAGCGTCTGTGGCTAAGTGTCTGACCCGCCGTCGCTATGGATGCGCGCTCACGAGCACAGATAATGAAGCGTCAAGGCCACCGCTCCACAAAGCTACGACGAGAGGCATCCCCATTGCCAGAGGTGACATCGGCAAGCGGGGGTTCTCTCTCCCTTGCTGCCTTTGTGACCAAAAAGACGAAGAGATCCCCCCGCCCCCCCCCCCCCCCCCGCGTGGCCTACACAGATTGTTGGGGGCCAAGTTTCTCTCAGCGAGCCACCTCGTGAAGGCAGCCAGCGTGGACACACCGGGGCATCGGTGTGGCCAATACCACGTCCGGTTGGTGACCTTTGTCTCCGAAGTGCTGTATAGATGTTCATAGATATCGCCAGGCACGTGAGTTTACACACTTTTTGTTGTTGTATTCATCCTCTCCAGAATTTGCCACAATCTGGGGTCACACTTTAATTCAAGAATGTAGTTAATGCTGATGCAATAATATAGTTGACTGAATAAATATAAGCACCACTGACGTTATCAATGACTGGGAATCGAAATCGTGCAGAACGCTCATCGCTGTGCCACCATTCCCGTTGTGAACAAAGACAAAGATCCCCCGTATAGCCTAAACAGACTGTTGGGGCAAGTGCTGTTTGCGAGCACCTATGAAGGCCGGAAACAGCACACGAGGGGGTCGGGTGGCCAGCACCAGGTACTCATTTAAGGCTGAGTCGACGTAGGGAAATCACAGGACCAGTTCAGATAATCGTCACCGGTGTTGGCCATGAGCGGGAATCGAACTCGTGTGTGAACGCGCACACAGACACAGACGTGGACAGCACGGGCGTGGTCACTACCCGTGTCTGCATACACCTCCGGTGAAGATGGTTGCCTACGTACGCGCGCGAAAGAAGTCCAACATACACACACACACTGCTCGGCCACATGGAGTTCACGCCGGATAGGGTGACACTAACAGGTGTTCTGAACCAGACACCAAAAGCCACACGCGTCGGAGTTGTAAGGGAAGACCCCCGTATTGCTTACACATCAAGACGATGATTCCATGATGACGATGACGACGACGATGAAGATTGGGGCTTGTAACAATGAATATTTCCAGTTGTTGGATAAACTGTCACAATTTGATTAAATAAATTGATTCGAGAATTGAAAAACACGTGCAATAATTGAAAGATAACATATGCAACACACATCTATGATTCACACATAAAAGCACGAAGCGTCGTCACCACTATGTATCTCAATACTGGATAAGATTGGTGATTAGATCGCATTGCTTTACCACACCACGTGTATCCGATATGGAAATAGCTCGACCATAATTCACCACTTTCGACCAGTATGGTGAAGGAGACCAGTACTGGTGTAGACACTCACGTTTCCCGTGACTGAGAATCAAACTCAGGCTGCGAGGTTCATAGCGCAGGGAGCTAACAATTCGGGGCAACCCAGAACCGGTTCGAACATCACTCGCCACGAACGTTATCCCTGGCTGGGAAGGAAACTCAAGTCTTTAACTGCACGGGCGCACGTGAATGCAACAGCTTGGGGGATTGTGAAGGGGCCCGGTAGATTGTGTTCAGGGTGGGGTTTGGATCGATGGAGCAGCTGTCATCCGACCCAGCAGCTGAGCCAGGAGCCAGAGCAGCCGGTGGCTTCAGCAAAACACGAGGAGGCCACACCGCACCACAGTGTACCGCACCACGCCACGTCGCACCACGCCACGCCACACCACACCACACCACACTATGCTATGCCGCACCACACTATGGCGCACCACACCACGCCACACCACACCACACTACGCTATGCCGCACCACGCCACACCACGCTATGGCGCACCACACCATGCCACACCACACTACGCTATGGCGCACCACACCATGCCACACCACACCACACCACACCGCACCACGCCACACCACGCTGCACCACACCACACCACGCCACACCACACCACACCACGCCACACCACACGTCACCACGCTAAGCTAAACCACGCCACACCACGCCACACCACGCTAAGCCACACCACGCCACACCACACCACGTCGCACCACGCCACACCACGCTAAGCCACACCACGCCGCGTGCTGTGCTCTGCAGTCACCTTGCTGATCTCAAAGCCAAACACCTCCTCGAAGTAGGCGGGCTGTGAGATGAGAAGCAGGTAGAAGGTCCAGCTCCGGCAGAAGTTGGCCACGATGATGGCGTAGACCGGCATGGAGGTGAAGAATTTCTTCCAGGGAGTCTTGAATTTCTGAGATTCAATAAAAAAAAAGAGAAAGAGGGAAAGAAGAAAAAACAATTAAATCGTGCGCAGGCACGTCGATTTCAGCAACGCTTTCCAAACTCGACAGACTCTGTGCAAGGCAAGGTGGCATGGGAAATATTTCACCCACCAATGGATGAACTAAGAGGTCGATTTAAAGCTTTCGTCACTGCAGGGATTCATCTTCTTGGTTCTTTGGGTAAAGTTACGTAGAATGGAAATAATAAAATAATAAAAATTTAACATAATAAAATAATTCTCACGACGTTTCGGCCACAACGCAAGCAGCCGTCCTCAGGTGAAGAACAGGTCTGTCGATAAGACAGAGTCTGAATGACGGCTGCTTGCGTTGTGGCCGAAACGACGTGAGAATTATTTGATTACGTTTTATTTTATTATTTTATTATTTCCATTCTACGTGACTTTACCGAAAGAACCAAGAAGATGAACTAAGAGGTGTCAATTTTTATCCGTTCAGATTCATTGCCACTCACGTGTCGAGATCGATGGCCCTCGCTGTGACGCGGTTTTCAGAGTACATATTGCGCAACGTACAAACGTGCAACTGATTTATTTCACAGCTTCATGGGTGTGTTTAATTCAAGTGAAATACAAATGCACAACGGTAATACTAAGCCATAAATAAGCCATAATTAAGCCACCACGATATTTGCATATAGATTGGATCATGAATAATGGAGGGCATTGCTCCGGCCAGTCTACAGAGAAGCACTTTCATGAGAAGTTCATGCTCAGAAGTCTCAAGTGGCACTGCATGAATTCACTGTATGACCTGCTGTATTAATCCGCTCTATGAATCTACTGTATGGATTCACTGTATGAATTCACTGTATGAATGCACTGTATGAATCCACCGTATACATTCATGGCGAAGCTGAGAAATGACAGGAGGAGCCCGGAGTTTTCCAACAAAAATGCGAATTGCAAAGTGAACCACGTGCACACGTCTTACCCAGGTGCAAATAAAATGCACATTCATGATTTCTCAGCCAACTTTTGCCAATGCTTTCGCGACTGTTATATGTTGGGGCAGATGAGACTTTATACCATCCCATCGGCTTACTGAAGCGTAGACAACCGTATTACTTGATCTTCTTCTTCTTTTGTATGGCTGATGTAGATGCAGAGCAACGATTTCACATTCAGGTGGTTAAGCCCAGATAACAGCCGTGTCAAGAACAGCGGAGTGCGTCGCTGCGATGTCTCCTTGGTATTTGTGGATCGGGGCATTGTGTCGTTATATGTTGTACAGTCTGTTCTGGATGACCACAGTCACACACTGCTTGAGAGTTTTAAAATTTCCATTTGTGCATCAGGTATCCGCATCTGCCATGGTTTGCGCGTATGTGATTTATGGTGGACCTAAATTTAATTTTAAGCTTTCGTGACTGCAGGGATTCATATTCTTGGTTCTTTCGGTAAAGTCACCGTGAGCTTCGTGGAAGATCAAACCCAGAGATCTTCTTCAGGTGAACGGCTGCTTGCGTTGTGGCCGAAACGTCGTGAGAGTTGTATTTTATTATGTTTTATTTTTGTTATTTTATTATTTCCCTTCTACGTGACTTTACTGAAAGAACCAAGAAGAAGTAGAGACTCTTTGACTTTATGAAACTATTAACATACATTTGTTATCATGTTACAGTATATTTTCCGTTATTTTCCATTAAATACGATAGTCCCATATAAGTGTTAACATTTTTTTAAGAACCCTGTAGAATTCACACGGCCTCCTGATGCTCTGTGCAGAGTTGTGTTTCTTCAATGGCAACAAATTAATCTTGAGGTATCTCAAAGCGCCGTGTGTAAAAGTAAAAAAATAAAAAATTACACCCACTGACATCGTATAGATATAGAGTGACAGCCAAAAACAATCATAACAACAAGTTCCACTATGGTGTGGCAAGTGTTGCTGACCACATCACTCAAATCATCTCGCCAGATCTCGAAAGCTAAGCAGGGTTTTTGAGCCTGAACAGTAACTAACACAGGTGATCATTACGCATTCAAACAGGTTGTCATAGGCCGTTGCGGGGCTACGGTGTTGACAGCAGAGAGTAGTTCTGCAATATAATGTTGTACTGTACTATACCCCCTCGTCTATGCCCCCCCACACACACGCACTTGTTTTAATCCACTGCTGGATGAGGGTCTGCCCCCACCTTCACCAACTCGCAATGACCGGCGTGGTCAAATAATGCTGCTATGATCCCGTATACCACGTGGGGAGGCCCTCAACCAAGCGGGACATGCACGGCACAATGTTAAAGGCTATTTTTGTATTTATTTACTATTTTTTTTTTACCAGGTAAGGCACACCGAGATTTAGAGATCTTTTTTCCGAAGCGACCAGGCCACAACTGGTAGGCCAACAAAATGGCTTGTCATGTGGAAATGTACGGCAGCGAAACAACGCACGCTACTTAAATGTGGAGCGAAATACCGGAGGAACCAAAGAAAAATCCACGCGGCCACGGGGAGAACAAGCAAACTCCACATATACAGACGCAGGTGTCAGGGTCGGGATCGAACCCACGACCTCCTGCATACCAGGCGAGGGAGTTAACATCTCCTAGTCACCGTGATGATGATGAGAGAGAGACACGCAAACTCCAAATATACAGCAGCAGGTGTCAGGGTCGGGATCTAACCCACGACCTCCTGTATACCAGGCGAGGGAGTAAACATCTCGTGTTGGGTGCGATGGCATCGACGCTCACCTGCGTCGATCCCAAAATCCCGTACGATTCACCGATGCTCTCCTCGATGTAGGTCTTCTCTTCGTCCGAGATGGTGGGATGTTTGGCCGGGCTCTCGTAGGCAATGCACAACCAGAATATGTACCAGAAAAGGCCGAACGATCCTGCACAATTAAAAACACACACGCGCACACGCACATGCACGCACAAACAAAATGCAAGGGCAGTGAATGAAATGTACACTTGGATTTTTTTTTATTGAAGATCATCTTCATTATAATGTATTATCATCACGATCATGATTATTATTTATACCACACATCCCATTCCGTACATCTCGATGTTCTAGAGCAAAAGGGTATTTGAAATAAATCCTCAGCAAGGAAGAGATTTCAGACCAAAGTCAATATTTTAAAAACAATGCGGCATAGCTAATGCACACAATAATAGTGCTGAATAGGTACTCAGGTCTTCTCTATGATTATTTTTTTGTCTGCAATATATTGTGTGTGTGTGGCTGTACAGTATTCCAAAAGAGCTTCGACCCTGTGGTAATTTGTAAATCACTGAGGACGTCCATGCATCTCGTTAAGCCAATTACAACGCTCTCTGTGAATGATGAGAAACTCGTTAAGACTCAAACGTGCGTGCAGGCCGAACAACAAATACAGCATCGCGCGTTCAGAGGGTGATTTCTGGACTGCGAGAGGCAACATTGTGAGTATAGGGTCAGGATAGGGGTTAGCCCTGCTATCATGCCATGCATGCCACGTGACATCCCTACACTGATTGATCCACATTGCCTCGTTTTAAATTGTTTCCCTGTTCAGCTGTGCAAGTGGCAGCGCCTCATCTTTGGTTTTAATCTCTGAGCTAGTCGTGGTAAATTGCACATTTATTTAGCAGGGACCAATCCCTTCCTGAGGGCAACTGCTGTTAACATCCCCGTGAAGTGATGCTCCTTAGCTCATGCAATGATTCGCCAATTAGAGTCGATTCCTATGTTCGTGGTGCGTGCATTGAATTGGGCACTTAAGAATCAGTTGTGAACGATTCATTCCAAAAATGGTACGTTATCGTGACATATTTAGGCTGATAAAATAACCGAGAAGAGAATAACGGCAAGATATATTACAGGCAAGACAAGTGTGGAAGTACAAATTAAAGAAATAGAATCAATTCTGGAACTGAACGGCCACTGCCCATCATGCCAATTCATCGCATTAGCAGGGGAACCGATTGTCACGTGGCTAGGACTCATTATATCGGCCCCCAGAGGAGTGATAGACTGAGTCAGCGGCAGATCCAGGGGGGGGGGTGGCGGCAATGGCAGCAATCGCCCACAGACACGAGGCCCTGAAAATTGGTATTTTATTAATACTTACAGAGAAGATGCATTCAATGTGTGTGTGTTTTGTTATTAATGGAGGGCCCTATTTACAAAGATTTCAATTTGTAATTGCCCAACCACCTTGGAAAGTTTCCAGATCCGCCTCTGCGGCTGAGCCGAACACCAATTAGAATAAAAACCCCAGCTCGCTTCCTATCCCGCCGTGAGAAACTCACTCTGCTACAGCACCCAGGCAGCAAGTCCACGCGACCACCATAAGAAGAATATGCAAACTCCAAATATACAGGCATTGTCAGGGTGGGGATCGAACCCATGACCTCCTGTATACCAGGCGGGGTAGCCACCATGGCGCTATAGGGTTCCCCAGCCCTGTACTGGAGCATCCATACCTGGTTGCACTCACCGTACACATAAAACACTGACGACCACCCTGCATACTGCACCAATATCCCGGCCAAGGGCATTGCCACCACGGCTCCTGCATAGGAACCTGTAAAGAACATGCGGACACACACACAGCAGAAGCAGCAGTAACAGCATGCACACTGCGGCTGTTGGTATAGGCAGCAACAAGTGGCAGCTCACCGCCAATTTCAAGAGTGCCTATCAAGATATCATCCCGAAAGCACCTGATATCATCAGATTTCGCAGGCTAAGTGGGAGTTGAGCCTGGTTAGTTCTTGAATGGGAGACTGTCTGGGAATGTCAGGTGTTGTACGCTTGGGCTGCGAGGTGGCCAAGAGTACAGAAATTGATTATTTAATCTATCTGCATGGAGCTTGTGAGTGCGTTACTCACATGCCCCGGTTCACCACCGATGCTAAACACCTCAACGAGCGAATTGACCAAACATTGCAATGCAGGACCCTCCTGAAAAAAAAGTGTCATGACGCTCAACGAGGCTTTCCGGAATGGCAGGCATTTCCATTGTCACGAGTATGTAGGTGGCTTCTCTGAGATCATGACCAGCTGCCTTTGTCCATGAGCTCTAATATCCTGTGAAGAAAACTCACTTGTATCGGCATGATGCCCCCTCTTCCCCAAACCCCCTGTGTTATATCCGATTAGCACGGTTGCCTACGTTGCGTACGAAAGAAGTTCAACATACATACATACATATGTACATGTATATACCGTATATATTTCATTTAGACTGTTTAAAAGAGCGTTTGCTGCTCAATGTGTTATCATGGAAAAATGCTCGTGTCAATCAATGCCGTTCACACGTCAACTTTTTAAAAATATATCCTGGGTTTAAAACACCCGACAGTAAAACGCAGTCTTCAAATATTAACCAATCAAGCTGTCCGCCCTTCTGACTGAAGAGTAGTAACTTCCAAAAATATTGCCCTACTAATATATATTTTAAGTTATAAGGCAGCGTTAAATGCCAAAAAGATAGCCAGTGTTGTCGCTGAGCTTCCGCACCACTGCCAAAGCAGTTTCTTTATTGCCCTTGGTCTAAAATACACAAAATATGACTTTCAGCCCGTGGCAAATGACGAGTGATGTCTGAACCGGGCCTCGGCCGCCACGTCCACCCACCCAGCCCGCACTGACCCGCATAATGAAGCATGGTCAGGCAACCCCCATGCAGGCGTGGGGGGAGGCTTTGGATTGACAAAGCCATATAGATATATTATTATTTGAAATTGGAATTCACTTTTAATGGCCATGGGAAACAATCATTATCATTAATTGTTTCATGATGACGATGTAAGAACGAGGACGGTGCTGATTATGATGATGCTATAAAGGGCATGATGATTAAATCTTGACTTAAAGCTTTCGTGACTGCAGGAATTCCTATTATTTGGGTCATTCGGTAAAGTCACGTAGATAGGTTCAAAGAAAATAACAAAAAACGACGACGTTTCGATCGCAACACAAGCGGTCGTCATCAATAAAAGGGGGTTAGCTTCTCAAGGCAAATTGTTAATTAAGGTTTACAATTAACATAGCCCACATTTGGGCTCACATTTGGGCTATGCCGATTTTTTACTTTTACAAAAGTTTGCCTTTAGAAGCCAACCCCCTTTTCCTGCGATCGAAACGTCGTAGTTTTTTGTTATTTTCTTTGAACCTATCTACGTGAATTTACCGAAAGACGCAAAGGCATGACGATTATTGTTGTTATTTAATGATGATGTAAACATATTGGTGATGATGATCCTGATGATGTAAACATTTTGATGAATGATGATCTAAAAAGATTGATGATGATAACGACATAAAAATACTGATGATGATAACAAAAACCACACAGTCCAAACGACGAGTGATGCACAGGCAGCTGTCCACGGGCGACGCGAGTGCACAGGTGCAATGTGGCATTGGCATCTAATCGGATTTTCAGAAGTGCATTCACGTTGAAGCCCTTGATCATCTGCCTTTTCATTTTTTTCTCAAAGGCCTTTTTTTTTCGTCATCAGTGGGGTGCTACGTTTCATTTTGCTCTCTGATGGCCCCGAAACTCGATGCATGATAATGCAACGGCGTAACGCATCCCCAATAAGTGTGCATGCCAGAGTTTAAAAAATTGCATGCATCGTTGCGCGTGCCTGCACCGCAATGGGACTTAATGTAAACGCCGCCAATTGCGCAATCATACACAAATTATTATTTAACAATATCGCATTAGACAAGACATTTATATCCCTGCCTAAACAAACAGTCCTACGGTTGTGTTATATGGGATACCGCTTGAATGTAGGTGTCCAAATAACCACCTGCATCGAGTATTATAAATCAGACTTGCTATTTTTAAAATTATTATTGGGCAAACTCAACAATGATTATACATCCATAGATACAATGTCGGGATTCTGGTAAATCGAGGCAAGGGGCGAGGGGGTGAGGGGGGGGTGCCTTGGAGGATGTCTACCGCAGCTCTGGAGTGGAGCAATCGGCGTGAGACGGGTCGTGGGGCTCGCTGGACTGTGAGCAGTGGCAACGGGACCGGCGGGAGAGGGCGGGGGGGGGAGTTCGTCCGGCAGCTGGTAACATCGTGGCTGACGATCGTGAGATGGGCGATTATTGCGACTGTCACGATTCTTAAAGAAGGACCCGGTTAAAACGAAGAAATTACGCGGCTAAACGAAGGAAGGACGCTGATAAACGAAGGAAAGACGCAGCTAAACGAAAGAAGCCTCTACTCGACGAATGAAAAACGTGGCTAAATGAAAGGTCGCAGCTAAACGAAAGGAGACACAGCTACATAAAAGACAAAGCAGCCCTTGTAAGATACAAATCATCGCCGCCGAACATGCCAGGCGCTGCCCACGTGAGCTTTAAAGCTTCGCTAACGAGCAAAAAATAACTTTGTTGCTGTTGTTGTTGTTAAAGTGACTTTCACGTGCGCCACCTCTAACACTGGTGACGTCACCACAGCTCGTGGCTGTGTATGCGAACAATAGAAACAACACACACACAAAGCACGGAGAGCAGTCAACGTCGCAGTAACGCCTCTGTCGACCAAATTTGACATTCGACGCGGCGCGGCCCGGGTGTGTAACCACGAGACAAAGAAGGGGTTTGCCTTTGTTCTTTAATTCATGAGGGAGGGGAAAATTTTGTAACAAAACGAGTGGTAACTTGACCTTCGCTGCAACGCATACGTTCTATCGCGTGGCGTCACAGCCGCGAGCCACTGGCACGCGTGAGCCGATACTGCCACGTGCAGTGACGTCACAGCTGCGAGAGCCACTGGCACGTGTGAGCCTATACCGGCACGTGCAGTGAGGTGATCACGCCTCGTGTGTGTTATGTATCTGTGTGCATCGTATGTGTGTGTATATGTCTTTGTTGAACTTCTTTCGCACCTTACGTAGCCAACCGTCCTAACTGGAGGTGCGGGGGAAGGACAACAAACTAAACACAAAAAGCAGTGTGTGTGTGTGTGCCCGTGTGCGTGCACTATACGGGAGATCTTTGCACGTGTGTTGCATATGCCCACGTGCACCTATGTGTGTATGCGTGCCGTCCGTTGCGTGCATTGCTCTGTGTGTGCTTTCGCATTTGTATGCGCGTTTATACGTGTGCGTGCGTGCGTGTGTTAAGGCTTTTGGGAGGGATCTTTGTCTTTTGTATGCGTGCACGTGTGTGTGTGTGCGCAGGGCTTTCACAAATCCACGACGGGATACTCACCACAGAAGGCCGTGGTGGCCAGGCGACTGCGTTCTAACGGCGGGGCCCACTTGGCCCAGATTCCGTGGCAAGCCGGGTACGTGACCCCCTGTTCCACAGACGACGACGACGACAACGACGTTAAACATCCGCACGGCACCGCACGGCGCTCCTCAACGCACACGGGTAGCCAAAAGAAAGTCATCACAACCTACGAAGGGACATTAATCATAACAAACATTTTATTTTCGGTTAGATCGCGTAAATATAAATGTGTCGTTAACCCACCATCACCCGATACACCCAATCACTAAGGTTTGTCACGTAAACAAAAACGTGCAATTAGTTACTACTTCAGCACACCGCGTGTGTGTTGGGTACTGACTAAAAAATAACTGTTATCCTGAATAACATTGGTCGCGAAAGCCCACGTGTTGAAAAAAGAACAATTACACTCACTGTGCACATCGACATTCGATGTTTCCAGATATTGCACGCCCCAGTGAGGTGGGAGAGTGGAGCATTGATGCACTCTCTCCTCTCTACTCATCGATTTGACTACAATATGCCCTTGCCACGTGGGCCAAAAAAAAATGAAACAATTCGTGCAATTGCATTGCAAGATCCATAGACCAGCCCAGTGACCCTTTGCTTTCTTTTTTCCATCAGCAGCCAAGCCTGCACGGACACGTGGGTGAGGCTGCAGTGCTCGCTGCGACATTCTCGCAATGGAATTGAGTAAAAGCGCAGATCTGTAATTGCTAACTCGCTCCCCCCCCCCCCCCATTGCTGATGAAAGAGCCTTAACTAAGAGGAGCTATAGAGAGGGTATTTGGCCTACTCTTCCACGCTGGCCTGACGTTTTGAAAGAGGTGGGAGTACCCACACGTTACTCCATCACACACACACACACACGTGACTTGCCGATCAAGTAACTGTGGTGCACCCATTCAAATTGCCGGGTTGATGAGCCTTGCCGATTGTTTCAATTGCCACCTGCGGGAGATTGAATCGCACCGATGAACGGCTGCTTGCAAGTCCAGCGTGCCACTCATTACACCGCGACATGATCCCTCGTTTGGTGTACAGACAAATGCAATCTGTATTAACCGTGCGCCTTGAGGGGTCCCTCTAAGTGGCAACTTTTGTAAAGGACAGGTCAAACCTCAATAATTCAGCGTGGTGATTCTCAGGGAGAATGAGTGGGTCCATCCGCTTACACGGGCTCCGTGCCACAAGCCAAGCAAGCCAAGAATAGCTAACCATTTTAATCAAAATTGTTAATATTTGGCAGCGGCTGTTTAAATGCCACAAAGGCTCACATCCCACAGTTTTAAAGGCTATGTAATTAACATTTTTGTTATATATAAAAATAATGTTGTGCAGGTGTCAAAATAAATGTGAGCACACACTCTTGGGTGTGACTTGGACGGTATGAATATTGCAGTGTAAAGTTCAGCCCTTGGTCGCTTTACTGGTCGACGAATGCCTTCCTATTGCATGTTGCTCATGGGCAATTGTGACCATACTTCACCACGCTGGTCAGCGCATGTTGATTTAGTCATTCGTGTGTGGGGGAAAAGGAGGGCAAGCTGGATGTGGGACCCAGGGCCTGTTCAGTTATCGCTCCCCACTCAATGTTAAGCGTCACGAGGGAACCAAACTCATGTTTTGCCGGGGACACAGCGCCACATTATCGTGTCCCTTCTCTAAGAAGACAGTGTCTGTGAATGACGAATGAACCTCCAATTTCGGCACTCACACCTCCTCCAACCTCCCCGTGATTCTCACCCAATGTTACCTTCTCTACCCTGAACCCCCAACTCGCGATGAACATTGCCACGCACGCCGTGCATCAAAATTGCGTTTGTTCCCCTACACAGCTCATGAACGTTGCTGGGCACGCACGCGGCGCGTGTCGATACGCGAGTTGACATCTGCCAGTGGACGTTGGCTGCCGTGGTGCGTGACGGTCAGCGATTCTGGACAGAGGTCGATTCGATCTTCGGGCGCGGCACTTAACATAACGTGGGCAAGCTTCACTAACTCAAGTACCGTACTCGGCCGCCCGTTTGCAAAACCCCCTCCGTTCAAATGCTAAATTAGGGTTGTTACACATTTCACGCGCTTGACACGTTACATACGGGGTACACACACATAGCCAAAAGCGCAGACTCCCTTTAGTCGTAAGGCAAAGACAAATACTGTATCCCATGTGTCACCTTCAAGTGCCGTTAGCGAGCTCCTGAAAGTCCGGCATGGCACACGAGGAGGTGGTGTGGTCAGAGCAACTCCCAGCCGTCTTTGTCTCCCCACTGCTAAAGTTTACACGCCCCACCCAGCTCCTCATCAGACGTCGAGTCGGCCGAGGGAAGGGCAAGAAACCGGTTAAGATATCCATCGGAGACGCTGGCCGTGGCGCGTGAATGAAACTCCTGCGCGGCCGGAGTTCAAATCGAGCAGTGCGCTAACCGCTGCGCCACCGCTCCGTGCACTTACCTCGACGAGTCCCTGCAAGATACGCACGAAGATAACGAGGCCATAGTGCACCCGCGCCGCTGTCGGGATGAACATGTTCAGTGTGGACGTTAGGACGATGGCAAGGCCAAATACTCTGCGTCCGTCACACACACACACACGCAACCGCACACAATAGACAGATCACACCACGTTCAGCAGCAGCCGCAGCGTTGACAGCCTTATAGACAGACACGAGTTCAGACAAGAGCTTCGGAAAATATTTCATTATCTCCCTCTACGCCCTTAAAGGGGAAGGTGGGCAGGGTGGGCTACATCGGCTTTTGGCGGATCCAGACAATATTCGAATATTTTTTCAGAAATTCATCCCCGGGTTCAATAATGTTAGCGAGCACCGATTTGGGTCAGGCGGTATGGCGAGCGCTTAGGCAACGCCTGGGCCGCCTTTGTCTCGTCGGCACGCTGATGGTGACGACGTCACGACACCGGGTAGACATTTCAGGTTGAGTCCACAGAGGGAGGGGGGGGAGGGTACATCGTATTGCTGTTGGGTGGTTAGATAACGGCTGTGCAGAGGCTTTCAGTTGCCTTGATCGGGACTGGAACTTTGCTATTTTTGGGTGAGTGCAATCCTGCAGTGCAGTCTGTTCGTCACTGATGAAGATCAAATCATGGGTGGGGTGACCGTTAGCGTTGCATTGCATGCGTTGAAATAGATCGAGTCGAACCGTGCATGGAGAGCCTTGAATAATACTGGTCAACAACAAAAAACATTTTTTTCTGGCCTGGACTTTTGCAGCTGTTTTAGACTAATTTCAGGGTGCTGATTCCAAATCTGATCTCAGATTTGCCCTATCACATCTCATTTTTATGCTATCGGCATACCCCATTTTCATTGATTTTACCCGAAAATAACTCTGTCACTTATGATTGCAAGTTGTTGCGAGTCAGTGACTGCTTTAGTGTTAAAATATGGTGCTGTATTTTTAGGATAGTGTGTTTATAATATCATTTTATGTAGATATCCACATTTATTTCATATTTTTCTTCTGCAGTTTTTATTGAAAATGCAATATTTGATATCTCATAAACCTGATGTGATAGACAAAAACCGATGCCATTGGAATACCTTATGCCAAAAAAAGTGTGTTGACCAGTGTAATTAATCGATGTTAATGGGTGAATCGATGCGGCATTGGCTTCTCTAATCACGACATGACGTCACACTGCAATTGTGATAGTAAGAAGTTCCCGTGATGCAACTTTCGTAAAACGGTCATAATCCATCGCGACTCCGCTAACCAGATCGTGATTGTATAGCTGTGACAGCGCCGTGCGCGTTCGAGAGTGGATCATTCTTATTCTTAGGTTTTTTTTCGGTAAAGTCACGTAGGTAAAAATTTTAAATTAATAAAAGTGTAATACAGCAATCGTGCTGTGACGGTTCCACCTGAAGACGGAAGCTTGTGTTGCCTCCGAAACGTCGTTATTTTATTTTATTTTTTATTTTACTTTTTTTAATTTAAATTTTTTTACCTACGTGACTTTACCGAAAAAACCTAAGAATATGAATCCTTGCAGTCACGAAGGCTTCAAATCTAGAATGGATCATTCTTGGCGCCGCACAATTACCACGGAGGGAACGTTTGCGTCGTGAAATATTCGCACAGACGCATCTTTAATAATAATAATAGTAATTACTACAGCAGGGCGCTTGGGAGCGTTCATTCCACCATTTGCTGCGCCCAACGATGGGCGAGCATTTGCGGCGAGCTCAACCATTTGTGGATTTTAACAACTTCATTAACAAACGGTCGATGGTCAAACGAAGAAGAACCGATTACACGTCAGGAAATTGTAAGATACAAAGAAAAACCCCAACGCGATTTGACTGCAATATCTTTCGAATGAATGGGCACATTATTTGATGGTGCTGCTGCGTTGGCATTTGTGCACAAGCACCAATAACACAAACAACTCAGCACTGCGTGTGGCCTTAACAGAACAAATGAGTAATAGGCGACGTTTCGGGCAATTACCCATTTTGAATAGCACAAAGAGAGGCCAGATTATCCGGGGTAATGAGGGAGGATGCACAGAGTGGGTCAATACGTAGAATTTTGTCGTCTGTTTCGCTTGCTTCTTAAGAGGGATCGGATTTCTTGCCCACGTGTTCACGCCCACATGGGTACTGAGTCTCTGACCTATGGTGAGTGAGCACGAACAGCTAATGTAATAAACCAGTGCACGTGAAAGAAGATATTTTATTGTGTTATTGGGTTGTTGTTGTTGTTGATGTACGACGTTTCGTTCCTGTGTGCTGGGAGCATTCAGTTCCCGAAGAAGCGTACATCTCCGAAGAAAGCTCCCAGCACGTATGGGAGCGAGCACGTGGGGCATCGCGCCGAACAACAACAAGCGCGGTAACGATCCGTGAAACACAGAGAACGAAACAATGGGATGTTTATTCATTCATTTTTAAATATAGCAGCAGCCCCCACGTCCTTTGTACGTGACGGTCCGCCCGTCCCCGATCACCCTGCCTCCCCCCCCTCCTCCCTCCCTCTCCGCCTAGCACCCTCCCTTCCTCGCTCCCTCCCTCCTTTCATCCAGCCAGCCAGCAAAACTTTAATGTTTAAATCAAAATAACCGAGAGTTGACGATGCAGGAAAAAACGTCTTCGCAGTACAATTCTCAACGGTCACGGCGAGCGAGCGAGTGAGCGGTGTCGGAGCCACCTACCGATTGGCAGCGAATTTGTTGGAGATGAACCCTCCTGGGATTTGTGTGACGATGTAGCCCCAGAAGAACGATCCGTGGATCATCCCCACAGTCCCAGAGTCCCAGTTGAATTCCGCTTTCTGCAGACGCAATTCACACATCAGCGTTTGGCCCGTTTGTGTATACGCATATAAACCTAAATTTCGCTTTTGTCATCACACATGCAGAGCGTGTTCGTGTTTATATATGCGTGTGTGTTTATATATGTGCATGTGTGTGTGTTTCTGGGGAGCGGTAGTGTAGCGGTTAGCGCGCTGCGCTATGAACCTGGCGACCAGTGGTTCGATTTCCGCTCACGGCTAACACCAGTGACGATTATCTGAATCCGGTCCTGGGCCTCCCCTAGGTCGACTCAGCCTTAAATGAGTACCTGGTGCGGTGTGTAAACATCGCCACTGGGGAGATAAAGGCGGTCGGGCGTGGTGCTGGCCACCCACCCCCTCGTTCGTGTACCGTTCCGGCCTTCATAGGTGCTCGCGAACAGCACTTGCCCCTACAGTCTGTTAAGGCTATACGGGGGATCTTTGTCTTTGTTTCTCTCTTTAAACGATGGTGTAGCGATTAGCGCGCTGCGCTATGAACCTGGCGACCCGGGTTCGATTCCCGCTCACGGCCAACATCAGTGACGATTATCTGAAGCGAGCATAGGCCTCCCCTAGGTCGACTCAGCCGCAAATGAGTACCTGGTGCGGTGTGTAAACATCGCCACTGAAGAGACAAAGGCGGTCGGGCGTGGTCCTGGCCACCTACCCCCTTGTGTACAGTTCTGGCCTTCATAGGTGCTCGCCAACAGCACTTGCCCCTACAGTCTGTTAAGGCTATACGGGGGATCTTTGTTTTTTTGTATATGTGTGTGTGTCTCTGTCTCAACGCTTTTTGAACATCGTGAATGTCAGGTAATGTTACATATGTCACAGTTTTAAATATAGTGCGTTTAGTATAAAAATCATTAACAGAAAATGAAACAACCATCATGAATAGATTTGCCAAATCCGTTAGGATTGCATGTAATGGGGAGAGTCAATTTATTTGCATTTAAACATAGAACATTAATTGCCAGTCGTGTATCCACGCAAATACGTAGTGAAGCTGATGATTAACTTATAATTAAACATTTTACATCCTGCATATACACACACACATTTTGATTTATTATTTGTAAAAGTATATTATTGTAAACACACGGACACGTGAACCACCGACTCCGGTATAAGCATTAACAATGCATCCAATGTTGTTTCACGTTTAATTAAATTCCGAGATTCCACGTCGCTTGTTGTCCTGCGTAATTGTAAATATTTTTTTTATTTATGATTACAACCCTGGTCAAGATAATCACACTGACCATGCGCAGAAAGGAACAGTCTATGCAGTATATATATAGCAACTGCATACAAACATCATTTTCAGTCTTAATTTGGAGCTTTCGTGACTGCAGGAATTACTCTTTTGTTCTTTCGGATGAAGGTCGACCCCCCAACACTCTGAGGGTCATGGTCGTTGTTTGACCATACTTCACCACCTTGGTGATCGTGGGGTAATCGCTCGCCACTGATGATAACCGTGGCCAAGAATCGAATTCTCATCACCAGGTTCGTAACGCAAAGGTGTGTTTAGCCGCTGATCCAGACAACGCATGCGTGAGTCATTTTTGCCATTGCAACGATCGCCTCGCTTATCCAATCAACGTACAAGTATCACTTGACCTATTAAATAGTAATATTAACATTGCCTGTGTGGGGGCGGGAGGAGGTGGACGTGGGCTGGGTCAGGGGGTCCGCGAGAGGGCTTTTGTGAAGTATGGGCACTCGCAAAGAGCCATTATGTCAATCCACTGCTGGATGAGTGCCTCGCCATGCCCACGAGGGTAGTGGGGGTTTGTTTGACCATACTTCACCGCGCTGGTCAATGCTCGTTGGTGAACGCGGGGAGCATAGACGTTCCAGCATGGCGAGGAGGTGCTGACAATAACATATTTTGTCGCACTGTCCTCTGCATTAACCACAAAAAAAATTACGATACCCCCAAAGATATCTGAATGTCCAAGTTTCTCAAAATAACAAATTAACGAAACTAAGTAAAAATAGCAGTTCGTTTATGAATTATAAATAGGTTGCGCTGACGTGAGGTCTGGGGAGAATGATCGACGGCTGGGGTTGGGTATGGGTGTTGTCTCGCCCTAAGTCGGCGGGGGGGGGGTTAATGGAGCCAAGGAAGGGGGCATCTGGGCTCTTGGGGGATTAGAGCTGTGGGATTTCACTGACATCGTCTACCTTATACGTACGGCGTGTCGTGCAGTACGTACCACTGCTAATAATGGTGATGTCACAGTGGTAATTCTCTTGTGAAGTATATCGCCGGATTACAAACACGTACAACTGCAACGCTGTCTGTAGAAATGCCGCATTGACGCCTGCGTTGCGAATTGCTCATCGTAAAGGCGCGTGTGTGTGTGTGTGTCGAAACTTATTTCGCACCGTACGTAGCAAGCCGTGCTAATCGGAGGTGCGGGTGAAACGAGGGAATCTTCTCAGGAGGTGGCAATGGACACTGAATGCGTCAGGCATCGTCAGATATCGAAAGCTAAGCAAACGTTAGCCCGGTTCATACTTGGATGGGAGACTGTCTGGGAATGCCGCGTGATTGTGTGCTTGGGACTGGGAGATGGATAGACAATGGCATCCTGAATATCCTGAAGAAGAAGAATAATGTTAAGTTCCTGAAGGAGCCCCACGCTCAATATCAGTTCTTTTTTTAAATAACCTCCAACCTCCAATGTCGGACATCATTCCGACCAAAAACATCACGGCGGTAACAACCCGAAAATAAAAAAAACATACAAATCTGTATAACAGCGGCGAGCGCTCGCCAACGCACCTGCATGATGAGCTTATCTCCCGAGTGGTACGAGCTGTTGTTGACCATGTCCACCACGGCCACGCCGAGGTTGCAACGGATCCCAAAGGAGATGCAGAAGCCCAGGCCACTCATCACGGCGATGACGTAACGCTTGGGCATTCCGAAACAGCGGCACTCGCAGAGGGGCTCCTTGGGAGGCTTCACTTGCACGGGCCGCCCATCCTCGGTCAGTTCGATCTCACCCTCTTGCTTGGACATGCGCCTGCGTGTAGGTGCGTGGGTGGGTACGTGGGTGGGTGGGTAGGTAGGTGGGTGGTTGGGTGGTGGGTAGGTATTGGGTAGGTGGGTAGGTAGGTGGGTGGGTAGGTGGGTAGGTGGGTAGGTAGGTGGGTAGGTGTGTGGTTAGGTGTTGGGTAGGTGGGTGGTTGGTTGGGTAGGTTTTGGGTAGGTGGGTGGTTGGGTAGGTGGGTGGGTAGGTGGTTGTTGGGTGGGTGAGTGAGTGGTTGGGTAGGTAGGTGGGTGGGTAGGTAGGTGGTTGGATAGGTGTTGGGTTGGTTGGTTGGTTGGGTAGGTGGGTAGGTGGGTGGGTGGTTGGGTAGGTGGGTGGGTGGGTAGGTACAAGCGGCGTTAAATCATGCATGCATGTGTTATCAGTTCGGGGGGGGTGCGGGGGAGGCATCGTCTTATCGTCTTAGGGCAAGGGTCGGCAACCCAAATTTATCACGGTTGGCGGCACACTACGGTGCGAAAGAAGTTCAACATTAATTTGTTCGAATTTGGTAAAAAACAATCAATAACAATAAACGTCACAAAGCAGCCCTTGCAGCGCCACATGCGGCTCCGGAGCCGAAGGTTGTCGACCACCGTCTTAGACCGACAATTACATCGACAAAGATCCCCCACGTAGCCTTAACCGACTGTTGGGACAAGTGTTGTTATCGAGCACTTGTCATGGCTAACACGGCGCACGATCGGGTGGGTGGGTGGCCAGCACCACGCCCGGACTACTTTGTCAGTGCTGATGTTCTTCATGCACGAACCGGACCAGTTACTTCTTTAAGGCGGAGTCGACCTAGGGGATGCCCAGAACTTGTTCAGATAATCGTTGTCGGTGTTGGTCATGAGCGGGAATCGAACTCGAGCCGCCGGGTTCATAGAGCAGCGCGCTAACCACTACACTACCTGCTCCCCGCGTATGCAATTACAAACACACACATATCCAACACACAAATTGTCTTCCAGGACCTTATATATTACCACTGTACTGCAATCATATACAAGCCACACATATATCGATGTATATATACATCCAACATCTACATGCATACATCTTGCGTACGTTTCTGTATTGCAAGCACACGTAAGAACATATAGATTAATACATGCACAAGCATGCATACATCTGTTTACACATTCTCAATGTTGACATTCAAAGGAGAATTCAATGGACTGCTTTGTGAATGACAGCCTATCCAAATGTACAATAGTCCAAATGCATACAAATTTTAAAAACAATCATGTCGATATATTATAAAAACACGACATCACCATGAAAGCTTACGCAATAAATACATATAAATATATGACTAACGTTTCGAGCAATGGTCCTTTTTCAAATCGTCAGAAAAGGCCATTCATTTCTAGTGCACGTCTGTACTGGATATATATCTTAACCGTGTCCACGATTAATATTTTCGGCGTTGATTTGCAATGTTTCACGACAACAAAAACACACCCAGCGCACACCATCATGCTACCGCTGCACGCCTATCACGCGGCGTTAATGAACCTTCGTGTATGTGCGCTCACGAACCGCGGCGTGTGCGGGCACGTGGGTCGTTCATCCCGCCGTGGCTTTTCTCCGGGCCACCAGGGAGCCAAGCGCAGTGAGTAGCGGGGCACCCTCGGGATGGGGCGAGTCTCGAGACTGGGTCGAGGTTCTTCTGCTCGACAATTCGTTCCCATCGTGGACTTTGTTTCCAAGCGTGCGATAGAAAGCCCATTTGGGACGAAAGTCTCATTCGCAAAAAAATCGGGGCTTGGGGGTACAAGATATCTCGGTGTGCGAACGTTATTTATAACGTAAACGTTATTTATAACGTCATTTATAACGTTATTTGCCGGTTAGTATGGGGCTTGTGGTGATCTTGTGTTCACATCATTGGGCTCGTGGTGGAAATACCACATTCCTCATGTGGTATGGTGCGGGGGGCGGTTAGTGAACCCATAGGTCAATCACAGCTACCTGTTCCGCAATTTGGTATTTATTTTACCGGTCGCGGCGTGATGATGGAATTGAGCGCGAAACGTGTCCATGACGCAAAATAAAAATAGACGTTAAAAATCACTGCCAATACGTGTAAGAGAATTACTATTTTATATATATATCAAAAATAGAGCATTATTGGGCCCTTTTCTTTGTGAGCCCGGAACAAATCCCCCATTCCTCCTTCCCCCGCCTCCCCCCGCCTCCAACTGTGGACGGCCTTGGCTACAACGCCATCTCCCTGGGCACCCGGCCATCTATAAATAACATTGCGATTCATGTATTATGGCATGTACGTCTACAGTATGCACGCAGCACGCAGCCTCACGTTGTGTGTATATATATGTGTATATGTGTGTACACACAGGGCTTCATTTCTCATCAAATATACTCGGGGATCTCCAATACCACAGGGTAGCCCATTCACCTTCCGTTAACCCCACCCCCCTGCTCCTAAATAATTTCTGTACATCAGCCCCGGACAGCTCCCGTTGCAATTAGGCCTTACGCAGAGCCAAGGCCGCCTTCGCTCTGTTGGCAAACACACATCTATACTGTCTATACAGTATATATAATCTCTATACAGTATATATACTGTCTATACAGTATATATAATCTCTATACAGTATATACATATATACTGTCTATACAGTATACCAGAGGTCTAGGTGCATGTATTTAATCAACTGTGATATTGAGCACCTGGAAAGTCGTTTTTAGGCTGAATCGACCTCGCGGAGGACCAGGCCAGGCTCAGATAGAATTGTCTGTGGTTTACTTCCATCAAATCAATTGATACATGTTTTGATGTATACACCGAAATATATATGTATATAATTGAATAGACATATATACAGTATACACACTTGTATACTATATATGGTTGGCTACTACGGTGCGAAAGAAGTTCAACATATGTACATGTATGATATTTTTAAATCGATATCATTGTCATCAGCAGCAGCCACGACAGATCAAATCCACAGCTGGATGAAAGACCCATCTGTGAAGCTACTAAACATCTGTGGGAAAAAAAGAGCTTTATAGCTCATCGGATTCCTCCGGGATAAGAAAATGATCCTGATTGTCACTCCCAAAGCCGTCATCATCTCTACGATCCTGCGATGTTGATGAGCCACGCGGCCCCGAGACGTGAAATGATACCGACATCCGATCCTCCAAGTAATTTAAATAACAGTGAATGTTTTTTTGTTTGTTAAACAATATACATCTTCATTTATTTACATTTAGAAAACTTTGAATTGTACAGTAGCCTATTCTTTGAACGAATAACCAGATAAATTGCCCTTTCAAGTTTACATTGTTGGACGGGCCCGGTAGAGCATTTACCATAATCTCCCAACGGAATAATCTACGGAACGAAAATAGCCACGTAACCATACATTATTATCATTATTTGAAACTCGGTACTTGGATAATACAATCGTAGTTATGACACAATAGTACATAGGGGGGGGGGGAGCGGTGGTGCAGTGGTTAACGCACTGCGCTATGGGCCCAGTCAGTGGCGAGGGAGACATCAGTGGCGAGGGAAGGAGAGCGCTTGACCCCGTCCTGAGCCGCACTTTCACTAACCGGCGCTGACCAGCGTGGTGAAGTATGGTCCAACAACCTCGTGACCGATGCGGCAGGGATAGGGCCTTCATCCAGGAGTGTATTCAACAATTATATAACTGCAATGCTAATCGATATTGTCGAATAATAACGAGGGTGCTTTTAATGACAAAATAGGCTGCAAATTGTTAGTACGCTTATTGTATTTAATATATCTAATATATTTTGTATTGTTATATCGACGTGACTTTACCGAAAGACTCAAAGAATATGAATTCCTGCAGTTACGAAAGCTTTAAGTGAAATTAGTTTTACACTATAAACATATCGGCACATTATACAGCTTTAAATAAATACATACACGATACGTACTCTTCAGTGAGTATTCATATAGTGTGTAATTCATGTTGCGATAACAATATTACTGTAAATAACAACATTACGGCAAACAACAATATTATCATTTACAGCTCATTGTCACTCCACTGCTGGATGGACGTCTCCCGTCGCCATGTCCGTCATAGACGTTGTTTGACCATACGTCACCACGCGGGTTGATGCGGGTTGGTGACGAGAGGAGAGCGGGTGGGAGGGCGAAAATCGAGTTGAGCTCCAAAAATCACTCTCCACTGAAGTTATCCATGAGCGGGAATCGAACTCGGACCGACGGGTTCCTAGCGCGATGCGCTAACCACTGCGCCACCGCTCTAACACTTGCGCTCACGTTACATGTCGAGATTAACATGGCGGTGGAATTATCCCTTGTCAATGCTTGTCTCGCACTCAGATATTATTTCCTGCATCTCGAATGACCATTGCGGCGTTGCTTATCGCCTATCTGAAGCCCTGCCCAGTGGGGGAAATTCCACATTTCTGTGACAGGAGCGAGGCTATCCACCCGAAAATTAATCACTGCTCACTTCCTGACAAAGTGGTACCAATTGCATCGTCTCCCGCTGTTTATTTTTTTATTTTTACCGGGGTCACGTTGCAGGACGCGAACCACTGCGCCACTGGTCCACCCAGGCGTATATTTAGCGTCAAATTATCGTGCATTTATGAGGCACGCACCGCGCGAGTGTGCAAAAATACGCGCGTTAAAATATAGTGCGCTCTGCGCGTACGGTAATTGCAACCGAGATGGCGCGTTCTTTGCATTCTTCTAAGCATCGAATTAGATCCAGCGACCGCTTTAATGCCCACAAAGGCAACGAACATGCGCAGGCAGTGTTTGCATGCAGCGTCGTAGCGAAAGCAATAATTGTGTTAACAACAGGAATACAAAATGATAATCATAACAACACGTCGACAGGACACGCTGGCGGGATCATGTCGCTTGGCTGGCGTGGGAACGCCTGGAAATTCCCCAGGAAGAGCTAGAGTCTGTGTATAGTAGTGTATAGTAGTGTATAGTGTATAGT